CTCCTTAAATGCATATGATATTAATTTTAAGTACATTTATTTCAATCGTAGTGGTCCATTTTTTAACCCTTCTTGTCTGACCACTGTCCTTTAGATACCACACTTTTATAAAAATAATAATTTTTAATTGGAAAAATTCATATAGTGATATAATTCATTATTATTTTCTGGCTGGTATACTGTATACAAAAACTCAAAATATCAATTTCTTTTGTCTATTGTTTGAAGAAAAAAAAAACTAAATGCAGATCAGAAAGTGACAAGAAAATCCATATGCATGAGTGTTAGATTCTGATTTTAATTTTGGAGGGCCTGCCTTTTAGTAATCCACATGGAATATCTATACTAGGTGATTTTTCGCACCGTGTGCGGGTTTAAATGTATTTTGTAAATTTGAAAATTATAATTTACTATTGTAAGTTTGTAGTATTGATGGTTAGGTATCTGTCATATTATAATTGTTGGGTCTACGTAGATTGGAATGTATTTTATAAGAATGAAAATTATAATTTAGTATTCTAAATTTGTAAAGTGATGTTATGATATGTGTTATTTTATGATTGCTTGCTTGACGTACACGAATTTATGTTGACACTTAGTTATATATTATGTTAGTGTATCTCATGTTAAATTGTTTATATGATTTATAAATTTTTTATTGTGATTCAACACAATGTAATCATTGTTGTGTTAACTTGATGACAGTTTAATTAGAAAATGGTAATTTTAATATTTAATAACACGATTTTATCATTTAGTTTATCTCAATCATTAATTTCTAGTTTTTTCTTCTACTTCTTATGGTTTTTTTTTTTAATATTTCGGTGTTGTCTTCATTTCTCCTCCTTTTCTAATTTTTATTCTTCATCTTATTTTCCTTATTCATATTCACTGTCTTAGACTTCTCCGATTTTTATATCGTCTATTTGCCATTTTATATAAAATTTCTTAACAAAGTAGCTTTACGTATCCTATTTTGAATTTTCAAAGTAGCTTTACGTATCCTATTATTCCAAAGCATGAATATTCTTTGGATAAAATATTAGTTCCAAATCGTAATCTTTGATAATCTGGTAGACAAAGATTTTGAATCTGTTTAAAAATTAATTGATTCAATTATTTATGAATCTTCTTTCTATTAAAAGGTAAGTACTATTATTTAGTCTCTTTATGTGATTGAGTTTAATTGGCCTAAAATTATGACATGTTTTTCAATAAAAGATGACATGGCTATAAGTTATTTAAATTATTGAATTAATACTAAATGTTTAATTATCAAATAAGTTATTTGAACCGTAATTATGTATGGCAACGTCTGAAATACTATTACGAAACTTATAACCATTAAAATGTGTTGGTTTTGTTTCAATCTTAAAAGAAGAAGCCGGTTAACTTGATTCAAGATTTCTAATTAACAATATTGAAATTAAACTATTTGAGAACAGAACATGCGTTGACTATAATCAATCTTAAAGTCGTGTATCAAACTCCGGTTCTAAATTTTGGATCAACTTCCGGTTTTCAATCTTTTGATTAGCTAACTTGGTTTTGTATCAAATTCTGGTTAGGCTAAGTTTTCTTATCTATTTAGAATATCTAAATACCCAAATGTATATCTATAATTCTTTACGTGTATGTTTAGCACGTGTATTATCCAATTAGTGAAGTGTAACTACACTTTAGGGTTGGTTTTAGTATATATTTAGAATATACTCAACAGATACTTTAGTTGTTTTGTCGAATCAATTGATTTAGTTATTGTTTTTTAAATTCTGATTTTGTAAGAAAAGCTTTTTAACAAAACAAAAAAAAATTCAAATGTATTTTTTTATCTAAAAAATAATTAAGACTATTTTCTTATGAAGAAGATATTGAAATTCACTATTTATAATTGGTTGTTCTTAAGAATTGGAATATACATAAGTTAGTTAGATGTTCAAATGTTTTGCTTTACATTAAAAATCTAATTAAAGTATCATGTAAAAGATTACAATTTTTAAAATGTAAATAATAATTATTCAATTAAAAAAATTATCCATTTAATTAGTTTAAGTCATGTCATTTTTTTCCAAAGATATGTTATTATTTTAAGCCAATCAAATTATAATATCTAAGAAAATTAAATAATAGTACTTGCCTTTTGATAGGAAGGGGATGTGTAATATGTATGCGCGTGAATGCGTCATAATTTTGCATGCTTTTAGCCCGTATGATGGATTTTTATGTATGCATACATAAAACATGTATGCTAATTAGTTTTTTTTTTAAAACATGTATGCTAAGCTCTCGAATTTGTACCTTTTCCATGTGAGTTATGTATATAAGTGTTTAAGCTGCCTTGAAAATATGGGTTCGTGTTAAGTGTAAACACATTCTATCTCCGCATATGTTGGGGTCGGATTTCACCCGCTCAACGTCAGCGTTCAAATCTTGACCAAACTAAGACTCTTGCCGCCTAAGATAATATGACCCCTAAGTCATCTCGCAGGATGAAACAAGTGATCGCCTAAGGTCGCTTGGATCCACCAACGACCATCACCGAGGACCCAACGTGGAATGGCACCGAGGATCTCTCAATAAGGAAGGAAGCTGTTCACATCGGTGTCACTGTTCACATCGGCGCCACTGTTCACATCGGTGTCACTGTTCACATCGGCGCCACTGTTCACATCGGTGTCACTGTTCACATCGGCGTCATTGTTCACATCGGTGTCACTGTTCACATCGGCGTCACTGTTCACATCGGCGTCACTATTCATCTCGGGACACTATTCACATCTTGTCACGTCTCCGGGGCGAGCGACGAAGTCATCCAAGATCCGATGACATTGGACCCGATGGCGATGGACCCGATGATCGATGTCTACGGCAGCACGAAGAGGACTCGAGTCAATGACCTCTCGACACCCACGAAATGGCGGTAACAATCAACTGGGTTGGGCTTCTCCTCTCGACCAGTTAAGACAGCAAGCCCAGTCCAGTCYCGAAYCCCACTTCGGCGAAACCGACATAGGCGAAGAGGGAATCCGCGAAGACTTAGGAAACTTAGCCGACTTAGGAACGTTATATATAATTGATGAAAAAACCCTTGTAAAGGTATCCGCAACTCTTTTGACAAAAGCATACACAYCAATAACAAACGTTTCTCTTTGCTCATCGTTTCTCTCGTAGCTTAGCCTAGAAATCTCTGTCTCTTCACGAAACCCTTACAAATCTAATTGTGCTAATTTCGACTCCCACAATTTGGCGCCGTCTAAGGGGACAACTAGAGACTTTCTCACACAAAAAAACTACGTTACGCACCAGATCTGCGAAGATGAACGGCGAAG